TAAAAAATCCATCCCCCATTAGAGTCACTCAGGGTCCAGCCCCTCCCCCTTGAGACAGCTGGGCTTCTGAGTAGGGTGGGTGTGTATTCACTTCAGAGGCAGCACAGAAAGAAGCCAGGTGATATGCAGGCGTTCTGAAGCCATACATGAGGTCTAGGCACTTGCAGGATGACCCAGGCTTTATCTTTCTGAAACTCAGGTGTTGGTGTACTACATACTGTAGTTAATGAGAAGGGTGACAGGTCAGACTTGCTCTGCTGGGAGCTGAAGACACTGCCTCACCTCTCAGGGGTTTTTTCTCCTGCCACCACAACCATAAGAGATGGTCCATGGACAGCACCTTCAGGGCCTTACACAATCTTGGTTCACACAATAAGACAGTGTAAGGGAGCTTGGGCCTGCAGCAGATTACAGTGCTCTGCCAGGGGCCTGGCAATTTGGGGGCTGAAATTGAGTTTTTACTTAAGTCTTTTGCTCCAGCAATTACTTTGGTTAATTTGACCAACACAGGCTGGGGCCACTAGGGTTTGTCCCTAAACCATCAGAGGCTACCATACACACACACACACACACACACACACAGCAGAATGAGGACAAGGACAGCACTGGCCTCTCCTTTCTCCCAAAGTCCCAGTCATGCAGCTGTGAGCATGTTCCAAGGGGACCTGCAGGCCTCACTCGGATCTATTATCTGCTGTGACCTGCAAAGACCTACAGACCTTTGATGTCAATCCCAATTATTATGAACAATATTTGGGTTAGAAAGGCTCCCATCCCTGATAAGACACTTCACGGCCCCTTTGTAAAACAAACCTAACCAGAGGGATCATTGTAACTCTTGATTTAAGTCTTGACTAGAGGAGAGGATAGATGGTTAACTCTGTATCCTGGGGGTTCCAGAAGGTAGGGCTGAAGGAGGTGAAGCCATTAGAACTACCATTTACCTGCCATCTGTTTTCTATTGTTCTGGAGGTTTCTCTAAGGCTCTGGAGTGGCATAGCCAGAGTTTCATGTTGCTCAGGGCAGTCCTTCAATTTGCTGCCCTCCAACATGTATGATTATGCAGTGCTTTAGCTGAAGTTTGTTCTATTCAGGAGCAGTCCAAAACAAAATGTGCAGCCCAGGTTGGAACACCACCTGCCTCCTCTAGCAGCTATGCCACTGTCTGGAGTTAAGAATGTTTTTTTTAATTTTGGGGTGGGGGATATGGCATATGAAACTCAAATTTCTGTGTTAATAAAGTTAACAAAAAGGCCACACCTGCTGTTCAGGTATCACCTGCTTCTGAGCTTCAATGGCAAGAGTTGTGAACACCCAAAATATTCTCTGGCCCTTGAGTTAGAGGAAGTAGGTAAGAAGGGCTACTCTGCTGGCTTCCAAGTCTGTCCCTGCTGGGGTGTCTTCTGGAATCCAACATGTGTATATTTGTCCGGAATGAAACCCCAAGACTTTCCCTGCTCCTACAGTAAGACCAATTCCTGCTTATGGCCTTGAGGGTGGTTCCTGTCCCTGCCCCCACGGCCCATCAGTTTCCAGGAATGTCCCATGGTCCACACACCCTATCCTCTGTATGTCCCCCACAAAGCACTTATTACCTATACCTTTACTTAGCTTGTGTCACCATTTGAGACAACCCCAAGGACTTACAGATAAGCTCAGGCAAACCCAGGATTTCCTAGAGATAGCAAGAGCTCAACTCCAAGTCCTCAGGTAGCTGGGGAAGTAGAAGGGCAGGGCTATCTCCAAAACCACTGTCCCTGCAGGGCCTGCATTAGGCAGTGGGGGCAGGCAGCACCATACTGACTGTTGTAATCCCAGACATAACCAGGCCTACTGAGGATGGAGCCCACAGGCAGGGGCTGCCCATGTTCCTAACCCATGGACAAGAATGTTCAGACAGTGAGTGCCTTGTGGCAGGGCAGAAGCTGAGGGACAGTGAATCAAGCTGGCACCTGCAGGCATGCCCCTCAGAGTGCTCCCAAACTGCCAGTGTAACCATGAGGGAAAAATGCTGAGCTCACAAGGAAGATGAACTAAAAACAGATTTAAAATTTTTTTTGTTTTAGCCAGGTGTGGTGGCACACCCCTGTAATCCCAGCACTTGGGAGGCTGAGGCAGGAGGATCATTGAGAGTTCAAGACCAGCCTGGGCTACAAAGTGAGCTCAGGTCCAGCCTGAACTGCATAGCAAAACCCTGTCTCAAAAAGACAAAAAGACAAAAAAAAAAAAAAATTGTTTTGTTGAGACAGGGTCTTTGCTGCTTAGTCCAGTCTGGCTTGCCTCAACCTTCCAGGGCTGGGATTACAGGCATGTACCACCAAATGACTCCCCCAAATAGCTTTAATACAATATTTTGTGCACTAACATTGGTTATTTTTTAAATTTTAATTTTGCAGGACTGGGGCTTGAACTAGGGCCTCTGCATTGTTATATCCCCAGCCCTTTTAGTTTTTGAGTCAGGGTCTTGCTAAATTGCCTAAACTGTGCTCAGATTTGCAATCTTCCTGACAGCCTTTCAGAGTGCTGGAATTACCAGCACATACATTGCCATAATTTTTAAAAGTTGGAGGCGGAATCCAAGAGAAAACACCAGGAAGCCCTACTGAGGAAATGGTCTAGGAAAGTCTCACCCCATCTGGGTAGAGTGTTTTGCATCCACTAAGCACAATGGTGTGCTTAAGGGAAGTTAGGTAACAGCACTGCATGAACAGAGGAAAATAGAGAGTAGTGGAAAGTCTGACTATCTGTGGACAAAGGGACATTTTTATTTAAGAAAATTTGTTTTTTGGAGTTTTTGCTATTTCCAAATGTATTATAATGAGTACTTGGTCCCTAAACACCTTCAGTGATTAGAACAGAAGCATATAATGTGGAACCTTCCCTCCTGGGTGAGGCAGACACAGGCACTCTTTATCTGTACATGTCCTTGGCGGTTCTGGGTCTCCTTGTTCCTTCCAGTATGGACTAAACAGTCCTGCAGCAAATGACCTGAGCACCCTAGCTGAGGCTAAAAGGCACACAGGCACTCCTCCGCTGAGCCGGGTCTCAGCCACATCCTTGGCTCAGCCTCCAAACCCTCCAGCTCCAAGACCACAGTAGCCTCTCTCGAAGTTCTCCTTGAAGGGCAGCCTCCTTTCCCTGCTTGTGGCCCACATCTAACTTGCCATGGCCATGACCCTCACTCAGAAAAAAGGGGCCTTAACTGAGGAAGTGGGAGCCAAAGCACTCTGTCAGTGGCCTGTGCATGTAATGGGCTGGCACCAAGACAGGCACAGCAGGACACCAGGGTGGGCACCAAAGGTCACTGGCTATTTCTATGAGTTTCTCTGGTGTATTTATCCCTTGAGATTTGTAATCGCATCTCCTGGCACAGAACAGACTGAAGGTAGACCAGAAAACTACAACAGCCAGGGATTCCCTGAGGGAAGCTGCCCAACAGCACTGCACAGAGGACCCAAAGCCTGTACCTAGAAGCAGTTACACTGGAAGCTGCAAAGTTGGCCACAGTTCCCAGTCTCCTTAGAGGTTGCTAGCTGCCAAGTGCACACCTGGCAACATCCCCTCTATTGAGCTCCCAACTTCCTGTGTCCTACACACTGTTCTTAACATAATAGCCAGTGTTACCCTTTTCAAACAATCATCAGAGGGCACACTTTCTCTGCTGAAACCCTCAATGGGCCCCATTGGCTCATCATTTAAGGTCCCTCAGGCCTGGACCTCTATACCCTACTCAACTTTATCTCCCTCCAGGACCACCAATAAGAATGGTCTCCTTCCACTGGCAGCCTGGGTGCCAGGTACTCACTGTGCAGACTCCATCATGATCCTTGCCTCAGGTCTTTACTCAGACACCACACCCTCAAGAAAGCCCTTGCTGGGTCTGGGGGCACATGGCTGTACTCCCAGCACTTGGGAGGCTGAGGGAAAAGGACTGCCTTGAGTTCGAGGCCCACTAGGTTGTCAGCCTCACAAGGACAGCGATTTAGAGCAGAAGAATGAAAATATCCACACCAACAATAGGAACCAGGGAGACAGATCTTCTGCGAATGAGAAGAGGACCAAGATATGGAGGAAGTGGAAGGGAGGAGTGGGAAGTGGAGAGGATATAAAAAGAATCAAGATGTGTTGTGTACATGTACCAAATCCCCATGATGAAAGTAATCAGTATGTACTGCAAACATGTACTAATAAAATTAGAAAAAAATAAATAGAGCCGGGTGTGGTCACACAAGCCTGTAATCCCAGCACTCCAAAGGCAGAGGCAGGAGGATCGTTGTGAGTTTGAGACCAGCCTGGGCTACAAAGTGAGCTCAAAGCCAGCCTGAACGGCATAGTGAGACCCTGTTTCAAAAAAAAAAAAAAAAAAAAAAAGTAAATAGAGTCACAGACCAATGTTGCCCAAAAAAGAGACCACCTGAACAAAAACATACAGAAGTTCCAAACAGCTAGTAGCTGAAGAGAAGAAACATGAGTCAGAAGTATGCCGTTCAGTACAGAGGGCCTTTGCTCTTTGTATTGTTTTGATTTTTAAAGAGGCAATAATGTTATTTTAGCATTTTAATGACACTAAAGTTAGAAATGGATCTGTAAAATAATAAAGCCCTGAAATTTTGTTTGCGAAAAAAGAAAATGCCCACACCAAAATACAGGATTTACAAAAACAATGAGCAGAGAAAGTTCAGGTGCTTTAGAAGGTGAGGCTATGCAACTTCATGGTATCTTCAGAGCCATAACCCGGACCCTAGACCTCCACCTGGCCATAGATGGGCATACCCAACAGCAAAGACCAACAGCCATAAACAGAACAGGTGTGTAGTTTAACATCCACCTACAGAAACATGTTTTTAATAGTTGTTTTTACTTCCGTAAGAAAAAAAGGCACAACTGTCTTCATTTAAACAGAAAATTCCATCCTTACATTCACTCACTCGACAGCCTGCTTCATGGAAAGGAGAAGCTGCTCCCAGATTGCAACACTGGCTGGGTGAGGGTTCAGTCCTGCAGTTTGCGCTCACATTTCTTCTCCAGATCTGCTATCTCCTTCAGGACCAGAGCGACACTGTACCGAAGCTCCTGGAACTTGGCCGTGGGGACCTCAAAGCGGTATGCTGACCCATCTGAAAGCTTGAGCTGCATCAGGACACTTGGTTGCAGGGATCGGGCCAGGGCACTTGTGGAGATAGCCACATCTACCCGCCACCTAAAGTCAGCAAGGTGGGGCAGCCAGGCCCTCTGCTTCCCGGCCACAGAGTCAAGGAAGGGGCGCTGGGCCCCAAATACCACACTGGCCAAATCTCCAACCAGGTCTTCGGGGATACCAAGCTCCTGGAGCTGGTCCCTAAAGGCATCAGGTTTCAGGCTGGTGGGGGGCAGCCGGAGGGCCTGCCGGAGCAATGTGTGTGTTCCTGCAAGCAGGGCACCCAGCCGTTCCTCTGATAGGTTGGCACTGACACCAAGGCGTTGTACAGCCTCCTGGCAATTCTCCCCCTGAAGGCTGCTGACCACAAGCTTCAGTAATTTTCTGAACACGCTTCTGTCCAGGTCCTCTAGGAGCCGGGCCATTGCTGCCACCTGTGGAGGGAGCTGGGCCCCCAGAAAACTGACCCCGCCACTGTGACTGTCAGCAGGATGATGCAGGTACAGAGCTGCAGCCCCTAAGGCAGACATCACTGCTTCTTCCTCCTTGATCAGCCCAGGATCAGCCCTGGAGAGAGGTCCCAACCTCAGCTGCCTGGAGGGAGAGGGGAGGGAAAAGGCCAGTGACTCCCACTTCCTTAGGGCCTTAAGACTAGCAAATGGGGGCTGATGTGGTCCCGTGTGAAAGACCAATGAGAGTAGGTGTGGTGGGACTAAGTAAGTGGCCCTGGGAACGAGTAGCAAAGGGGCCTACCTCAGATGTCCCAGAGGAGGTGATATCTGAGACGAGCAGGAGTTAGCAGGGGAGTAGGTAGGGAAAAAGACCACACATAAGTCCTTTAAATAAGTCACAGATGTACGAATGAACTAGGAGAATGGATTGAAAGGAGGTGGTGTGACCAGGTCACAGCAGCCGAGACCCGGGCCCCACACTCGGAATCCTCACAGTATCTCTCAAGAGTTAACGATTCGCACCTTACAGACATGGAAATCAAACTTCCACATGCAAATACCTAGCCAAGAACGAGAGCCCCAAAGCCCGGACTCTCACAGGCCTGTGCAGTCTCTGCACGGAAGGGACCTGGCTACAGGAGTTCGCGCGGCAGTGACGATGCGCGCTGTGACACTACCAGAGACAGCGCAACGTCCCCGGGATGGAGGCTACGTGGCCCATAGACCTGCGCCCGGGGAGCGGGTCAGACAGCGAGGACCACAGCCCAGACGTCAGGATTGCCGGGATCCCCAGGACCCGCTCTGATCCCCAGGACCCGCTCTGATCTCCACCGCCTCCCTTCGTTACCTGGCTGGGTCTCTGTGCCTGGGAAGACAACCCCACGACCCCACAACCCCAAAACCCTGACAACCCCCGCACCTAGCGAAAGCGATCCACAGCTGTAAGGCGGGTGCCGGAAGCGGGCGCGATTAGAGGAAGCAAGCCACGGCCACTTCCGAGCCGCTCTAGGAACGCCGGAGGTCCCTCCTCGGTGGTGCGGTGGTGAGCGGCCCGCCGTCCGAGCGGGAACAAAGCGGAATCTCGTGGATTCCCGGTCGCTCAGTCCTTTGACACTTAAATGTTTTTAGGAAAAAGAGTATCGGGAGCGTTTTTGTTTCGGCTTCTGAGGCAGCAGAGACTGTGCCTGGCGCGAATGCGCCTGATGCCACGGTTCGCATCCTGAGAAAAGGATGGAATTTCAACAAGCTGAGTCTAGAGATGGAATTGACATAGACCATGGGACCTGGAGGTCAGCATCGACCCCATCCTAGTCTGCCCGGCCTTGCCGCGGTCTTCTTGGCGTCTCTGTATGATGACCCGGCTCCTGTGGGTGACCCCGTTCTCGTTTGACCTGCTTTGCTGGGGCCCAGTTAGAAGCTAAAGGCAAAACGATGGCCTACCATACATTTTAACATATTTCACTCAAAATTTTAAAAATAGCGTTAATAGACCCAGACCATTGAAATGGGTGAATTATATGGTGTGAATATTATAGTTAAACAAAGCTATTTTTAACTCAATGAAAAGTAGAGAATGCCAATTAACTAAATGGGCAAAGACTGGAATAGACATTTCATCAAGGGTGCTATACAAGCATTATGAGATGTTCAGTATCCTTTGTGTTAGAGAAACAGAAGTTGAAGTTTGGTGCCATCTCACACCATTATAAAGCTTGTCATAAATCAGGTCAAGTGCCACATGCCTATAACCTGAGCACTCATATGGCTGAGGCAAAAGGATCACCATGAATTTCCAGGCCAGCCTGGACTACATAGTGAGTTCAAAGCCAGCCTGCACTACATAGCAAGACCCTTCTCAAAAAAAAAAAAAAAAAAAAAAAAATCCAAGCGTGATGGCACACACCTGTAATCCTAGCACTGGGGAAGCTGAGGCAGGAGGATCACTGCAAGTTCAAGGCCAGCCTTGGGTACAAAGTGACCCTATTTCAAAAAATGAAAAGGAAATTTGGCGTTCTCAGAAGACTATGGACTTAAACTAATAAATGTAGATCTTCAAAGTGATAATGCTCTGCAGGTAGACATTTCTAATGTTCTTAATGAGAAGGATAAAGTAAAACTCATGTTCACATAAAAAGAGTTCATTGTCCAATTTTAAACAAAATGAGTTTTCTGTTGTTCGACAACATGAAAAATTATCTGTGTTCATTATTCCTTTGTGGAAAATTAAGATTATGTAGGTTATATCATCCTGCCAGCTCCACCAAATCATCCTGCCAGCACCACCAAGACCTGATTCTGATGCTTCAAGGAAAAAGCTACAGAAGCTTGGAGAAGGGTCAATGACAATAGAAGAATTCAAAGATGAAACAGGAACTGGAAGCAGAATATTTGGCAACATTCAAGATGACAGTGGCAATGCATTAAGTGTTCCTGAGTTGTGTGGCAGCAGATGCTATTTGAGACAAGATTTAAATTTCCATGTCTTTTTGGAATATAATCAAGGTTTGAGTGCTCAAGAAAAAAGTTAAAAAGAGAAACTTGAAAATTTCTTTAAAAACACTGCCAAATCAGCGGATGGAGTTATCATTTCAGGAGTAAAGGATGTAGATGATTTCTTTGAATGTGAATGAATATTCCTTTTAGAATATAATAATCAAGTTAAGAATGCATCTGCTAAATCTGATAGGATGACAAGAGCCTAGAAAAGTGCTGCAGGGCTGGGGATATAGCTCAGCATCACAACACCTGCCTGGCAAGTGCAAGGCCCTGAGTTCAATCTTGGTACCCCCCCCCAAAAAAAGTGCTGCAGATGATTACATAGAATTGGTTCTTTATTCTATACTTTAGGAACTCAGGGGTCTATAGATATATGCAAGTTTTCTCTCAAAATTTCACAACTGTTTGATAAACCAAGAAAAATAGAAGGGCAAGTGTCTCCTAATGAAGACCTAAAACTTTCTGACCTTTTAGAATATCACTTAAGGGAATCTCTAGCAGCTAAACTTCTCCTCTATCAAAGGTCTCTTGACATTTGCGGATTATGAAAATGCTAATAAAGCACTGAATAAAACTAGGGCAAAAAGTCAAGATGTTCTGTAGGCTGAAACTTCCCAGAAATTATGCTGTGAGAAGTTTGAAAAAAAAAGTCTGAATGTGTAAAACAAGAACTTATACATTTTAAGACAGAAAGAGTTTCTACATTCAAAAAAATATTTAGTGCAATTTCCAGAATTAGAAGTGTGCAAAGAGTCACCTCCAATTGCTGCAGAACTGCCTGTCAGTGTTGAATAGAGAAACATAAACTGGGAAGAGCTGCCTTCCTTCAGAACTTGATTTTCTTTTCTTTTTCTTTTCTTTCTTTCTTTCTTT